GGTACCTGCTGGCCCCTTCCCCCTTTCCTGGGCCAGTTACCAGACAGGCTTTAAAAATTAAGCTGGGGTGCATTTGGTCGGGTGTCATCCAGCAAGGCAAGTGGTCACCAGTTTGATTCCCTATCAGTGCACATGACTGGGTTTTAGGTGTTGACCCTGGTCAGGGTGGGTACATGAGGCAACTGATCTATGTTTCTCTCTCACATTGATGTTTCCCTCCCTCTCTTTCTCCTTCCCTTCCCTTCTTTCTTAAAAACAATAATAAACTAGGGAGCCCTGCCTTCAGACACAGAGAAAGGCTACCCAATGCTTGAGAAACCTCGACCACTTGGTCATTCATTTCTCAGCTTTGGTGCTGTTTGCTGTGTGGCCTTCAGCCAGTTGTTTCCCTTCTCGGAGTACACAGTCCCTAGTCAGTACAATGAGGGCTTTGCCTTGCTCCTGGAGAGCCCTCCCAGGACTGAGCTGCAGAGTAAACGAAACTACAGCCCCCACCCCTGCCTCCAGCTGAATCTTGGTATGGTTCAGGCAGAACCAGATCCCTAGGCCACTGCCCTTGTTCTGCACTTGGTTGGAGGCTAGAGGACACCCTCCCGCCACTTGCCATTTCCTCTGTCATAGCCCACTCCATGCCAGGCTCTGGGCAAGACAGACTCATCCTGGATCCAGAAGAGCTCCCAGTACAGTGGGGAAGGTGGTCAGTAGACAAGAATGTAAATAAATTGCTGACCTAAAAATAAAAGTGTTGTAGACCGCTCTGCCTGGTTTTAGGAATTGTATCTCCATCCCCTGTGGCTAAGGGCCAGGGACGACCTTTGGAATGCGAGCCAAGCCGCAGGAGACAAAGCTTGTCTCTGGTAGCAAAGACTGCCTCAGTTTCCTCTCCCTACCCCCAAAGCTTGGTCAGAAGTCAATGACAGGTAAGACCCCTCACAGTGGGGGGCAACCTAAGCCAGACTTGATCACCTGGGAGACCTTCATGGAAGGACTTGGGGGGCTGCAACAAAGAGCAATGGACTCTCGCCCCCCAACTTTGACATAGCCTGAGTCCCCATGTTCTCTGAGAGAAGTTCTTCCTGGCTCTAATCCCCTTAAGCCTGAATACCTGTTGAGAAGAGGTGCAGCTCCTTGCCTTGCTAGAGCCTGTCCTGGGTGAAAATCTGGCACCACAAAGACTTCCTGATAAACCTGTGAAATCTGCTCTGCTAAGAGTGCTTACATTCATATGATAAGGGTCTGAGAGGAAATGAGTATGTCTCCCAAAGTTTCTGCAACTCTCTTCCTGACAGACACTGACTCATAGTAAGTCCTCAGATATCTTCGAAATGTTATCTACTGTTTGATCCTTGCCACCCTGTATTCCTATGTATTACAACCCAATAAAAGGCTATGGAGCAGGGGGTTTGAGGCCTTTTTCTCCTCAGAGAAACTTGCCGCTACTGGCCTTTGTCTCCCCTGAGAAATTGGCCACAACCCACTTCTCCTCCCTAAACAGATCACACCATGTCTAGGTCAGATTTACTAGTGTCATGGCACTCAGAGGGACTTGCGAGAAAGGCGGTCCCACATAAAAGGGCCTTTCAAACTGAGAGGCAACAAACATTTATTGAGATCAATAAGAATAGCTATCCGAGATGTAATGGTTCAGGCAGAATCCCAAATAATGTCCTTATTAGGAGACAAAGGCAAGGGGGATTTATGAAAAAGGAAAGAGGAACAATTACATCAATAGAAGGGAGGCATTTCCATTGGTGCAGATAACATAGTGATGTTCATCCTAAACAATGTTTTTAATTTTCAGTCAGGTAGTCATCAACCCAGTAGTCATCATAACTGCTTTCTTGTTATTTTTCCAGTTTTTTGAGAAGCAAAGCTGCTTAGGCCCAGTCCAAAGGTTATTTTGACCTGTTTTTAACCTTCCAAGGTTTGAGCATGAGATGTGCAAAGCAGTTCCTCTAGTGTAGCAGCTCTGCCTACATTTTAAAGCAGCTCTATTAATATTATTGTTTACAAAATAAATATGAAGAAAACATGGCAGGGTGAGGAGATAGAGTGATGGGCAGTCAAGAAGGCCTCGTGAGGAAATAGCATCTTAGCAGAGACATCCAAACCAGCCAGCAGGGCATCCTGGGGGACAGAATTCTGGGCAGCAAGGGCAGCTGGGGCAAAGGTTCTGGGAAGGTCTGAGCTTGATGTGTTTGAGCACAGAGAGGCTGAAGCTCAGGGAGCAAATGGGAGAGTCGTGGGTGGGAGGGTGGGTGCAGATGGCACAAGGGTTTTTGTTTTTGTTTTTGTTTTGTACAAGGGGTCTAAGCAATGGGCAGGCTTAGACAGGATTCTGGGGAGAGGAGAGGCTGAGCTAATATTAACAAGGCTGCCTTCCCTGGCCTCTAGGAGGAAGCTGACCAAATCCTCCTCAAGGGCAGTCATCCCACTCTAGACCAGGCTTGAATGTGCCTGGTAAGAAGGCTCTTGCAACAAAGACCACATATCTCTGCCCTTGTCGGTTCACACAGACTCCTTAGCCCCAGGTCTGGGACACATAGCTACCCAGCCCCTGCTGTCAGGCGGGCAATGGAGACCTCTGAACTAGGAGAAGTTCCGGCCTAGCCCCTGTGCCTGTGAACTCCACCTCACAGCCTAGGAACAGGGAAGAGGACCCTGCCATTTTGGCAAGGCATGGGGCAGGGAGCCTTTGCTGGGGTCATGGGTTGTATATAAATTGTCAAGGGCCTGAGGACTGAACAGGTACCTTGTAAATATCAAACTGACCTGTACACTGGCTTCCCCCACTTGGATATCTGGACGCCCTTTGTAGAAGCTGAATGGTCCAGTAAATAACAACTGAACCTGTAAACCACTGGTGTTTGAATTACATGCTTACTAATCTGGCCACTGCTTGGCAAAGTATAAATTAGTTGGTAAACTATAAAGTGGTTTGTCATCCTGTAGAGAGGGCTTTGCAAACTGTAAATTACTTTGTAAATTGTGTTTTGTAAACAGCCTTGCACTTTGCAAAATGCAAAGTTCTTTGTAAACTGTAGAGTTCTCTGTAAACTGTCATTTGCTGGTGTAGAGGCCTGTGCTCCCATGAGAATCTGTGGAGGAATCAGACTCCAGTCCTGTCACCCTCCATAGGCCCGAACTCCCGATGGGGCCTAGACATGGAGGTGGGGGAGAGACGGACAAGATGTGCAGATAGGCAGGCCAGTTGGCTTGTGGTGCAAGGGTAGAGAACTGAGTTGAGTGGCGGGAGCCTCAGCGCAGGACCCTGGCCCACCAGAAGACTCCGACACCTCTAGGGCCTAGAGAAAATGGAGGGAGGAGGAGGGAGGAGTTGGTGGATGGGATGCTTGGAGGTCAAGGCCAGGCAGGGACCAAGGCATACGAGGTCTAACTCGGATTTTTGTCGCCTCCTAGTGGCTGCAGGAGGAGCAACTCGGGCCGCGCCCCTGGAACTCGAGTCTGGCATGCTCTGAGGGCACGCAGGCACATTAACACCCGCCCCGCCCCGCCTTCCCACCCGGGCCAATCCGCGCACGCGCACACAACTGTGCACGCAATCGCGCGCGCGCACCTACCTACACACACACATGGCTTTGGGACTCCTTCAGTCCCTCCTGCGTTATTTCACATTCATTCATCCGTTTTTTTCATTCAACAAAGATTGACTGAGCCCTGGCACTCGGGACACAACAGTGGTAGGTCAAATCTGCCCAGATGAAGCAAATAAAAATTAGCGAGACTGGCAGGACCAGGGCGGGTGGCTGCCCTGAGGCTGTGACTTGGGAGATCCAGATTGTGAGGGAGGGGTTTCCAGGAGGGGGCGCAGTCAGTGCAAATGCCCCAAGGTGAGTATAAGCCTTCATCATGGAAGGGCGGGAGACCGGAGGGGGGGGCGGGGGCGGGGAGGGTCACAAAAGTACCTTGAAACTGTCAAATGCTGTGCCAGGTAAGGGTTAATACGCGGAGGCCTGTGCCAAACTGAAGGCTATTTAGGGACAGCCTGAGCTAAGGAAGCAGGGAGTAGTAGACTGAGCTAGAGAGATGAGCCCCGAGAAGATGCCCCCATTTCCCTTGTAGGACTAGGGAGGCCCTGCTGTTTTCTGAGATGTGGGGTCAACTGACTCACCAGTTTGATCCTGCTGACTTGTGACTGGCTTGGGAAAGAGCATGTGACCCCCTTCCCACGCAATAAACCAACCCTGGGATTTCAGCTGGAGTTCTGGGCCCCTTGGCTAAGCTGGTAGGAGCCCTTGGGTCCTGCCATGTCCCCATGAGGGGAGTATGGAACTGACAGAAAACAGAGCTAAGGTGGACACAAGTTCTATAAGATATTAACTACACTCCTGATTCCAACTGTGCCTGCAGCCACATACAGTTCTGCTTAGGTGAGCAAGTAAACTCCCTTCTGCTGGAGACCAGTGGAAGATGGTTTCTGGCCTCGGGTAGGCCTTAAGGATCACAGAGCCAGACTAGACCCCGGCAGAGGCCTTCCTTGAGCTGCCCACCTCCCCTGGAAAGCCCTCCCGAGGACACCATTGCTTGTCTCCAAGGCTCTCTCTCTGTCTTACAAGCTGTGTGTCTCTGGACAAGTTACTTCTAGTCTCTGGGCCTGTTTTCTCATCTATAAACTGGTCATAACAACATAGTATAACCCGAGACAATTACATAGCACCATTCATGAAATGACAATGTCAAGGCCTGGGACCAGCACCTGCAAATGACTCTGTGCATGAGGCAAAGCACTCTTCAATGTCAGTGGGACAGGTGGCCCCACTAGTGGCTGGGCTTGTGTCTGATGCTCTGCCTGGCACCCAGCACAGCGCCTGGTGCCTCATTGCAGCCTTCTGGGAACCTTGGTGCCCTCATGTCTGACAGTGCAGGGTCCCCAGGTCACAATGCCTGGCCCTCTCCCAGGGCAAGGGTCCTTCTGTGGCCCACAGACCTTCACCAAGAAATGGGCTTACCTCTGTGACAGTCTCACACAACCTTCTGGCCCATTTTAAAATTTTTTAATTAAAATAACAACTGGACAAGTGCCCCAATTCATCAAGGATAGGACCCAAGGCAGGTAATCCTTTCTTCAAGAAACAGAGAAAGAGAAAAGAAAAAAAAAAGAAAATAAAGAAATGTGTGTGTGTGTGTGTGTGTGAAAACACTAAAAGCAAATCCATAACCTGTCAAGCCAGTCCCCAAGGGGAGCATCTCTCAGGTCAGAGAGCTTAAACCCATGCTTCTAGGCCCTGGCTGAGCAGATAGTGTGGGTCTTGGCCTACTGGTCCCCTAGGAGGTGGCAGAAAACTTATCTGTCTCCAAACCATGCAAAAACAAAAACAAAAGTATAACAGCCAAGCCCACATAGCAAAAAGAAAACAAAAAGAAACCCAAAAAGGATAAATTAAAAAATAAAAATAGAAAGTTAAACGACACCCCTAGAGGTGACAGGCAGAGGCTGGGCTAGCTGGTGAGGCCCTCTGGCCAATGCCAGGGGATGCCGCAGAGTGCTCTGGCATCTCCCTCACACGGGGCTCAGGAGGATTCATTGTGGCTTATCCCCATGTCCCCATCCCTACGTCCCCACTACCAATGCTGAAACAGAAATGTGGCGCCTGGGTCAAAGTGTACAAAGTCCAGTCAGTCAAGAGATTAAAAAACATACAACTTGAGAGGCATCCACGGATGGGCCAAGGCAGTGTGGCCTGTGCACAGGTACCAGCTGCCTTCTCTGCAAGAGGCAGCAACATCTGGTAGGGGCATCCAGGCCCCTCCAAGTTCAGGGTCTCAGAGCTGAAGACTGGGTCCTTGGAGGCACTAAGGCACTGGTATGGGACAGAAGCACTGGTGGGGGCCTGTCTGGGCTCAGCAGGAAGCCCTGACAGTCTGGTTCATTGGGTCTTGGGACCAGCCCCCATGACGCCTCCCAGAATGCCCAAGGCCAGGGTGGCAACAGCTTATGGGCGTGGGCAAGCACTGCCCCAGCAGAGGGGACGTTGGGCTGCTGGAGGGCCTTGCCCCCTATGAGTCCTCTCCTAGGATCTCCTTCACAAAAGCAGCGATGTCTGTCTTCTTGGTTTTGTGCAAGGTGAAGAAAGGATGCTCCTAATGGGGGACAGGACAAGGCATGAGGCAGAGGTGCCCCGCACCTCCCCAAACCAGCCCAGGCCCCTGTGTGCTCCTTTTGCCCAGCAAACTCCTGCTCACCCTCCCAGGACCTCCACCCTTGGAAAGCCCTCTCTCTTAGAGACAGCACTGATGGCTCGCTCCCCTGCCCTCCTATCATCACCCTCCAGCCACACCAAACACACTTCTCCCCACACATGCCAGGCCTCTGCCTGTGATGGGAATTCAGCTTGGAAGGCCCTCTCTATCTGTGGGTAAATCCTTAGTCATCCTTCCAGGCTCAGTTCAAATGTCACTTCCCCTATGAAGTCTCTCCTGACACCTTCAGATAAAAGAGTCCACCTGCCTGCCCCATCCCCATCCCTCTGCACCCTCTGTCACAGCACTGCCTATATGCCCCTCCATAGGGCCCAGTAGGGAGGAAAGGGAGCCAGGGAGTAAATGACTACCTGAATTAATTCATGCAGGGGCAAGCCAGGGAAGCTGCCTACTTCTGTGCGTGTGGATGCAGCCCTCTGCCCAGGGAGCCAGCCCAGTGCTACTCCCACCCACTTACCATCAACTCCAGGTAGCTCATACGTTCAGCAGGGTTCTTCCTCAGGCTAGGAGAGAACAGGGCATGCTGGAGCCTGGCTGGCATTGAGGAGGCAAGTCCAGCCCCTCTGTGCCAGTTGGGCCTGCTCCTGACTGGCAGGGAAGGCACACATGCACTCCAGGGGCTCAGGGAAGGAGCAGGACTGCTCTGGAGAGCACCCAAGGGTAGAGTGGGATCTGTGGGTGCAAACTAGAGAGGCTTGGATCATGTTCTTTGCCTCTTAGCTTTCTTGTCTCCATAGCAATCTATGGAACTTCCAATGACTCTAAGATTGAAATGATACTGAAATGCCACCATTAACAATCATATCCTTGGTGTCCTTAATCAGGAGGGGCAATTCCTCATCCCAGGGCCTGGGCAAGGGGAGGCCCTAAGTTAGAGGAGTCAGGGTGACTGATGACTATTCAGGATGACCGATGACTATTTGCAAGCCTCATTTTTCCCAGTCTTTTCTATTTTCTAATAAAAAAAAATACAGGCTATAAGTTTTCCTCTGAGTGTCTCTTTACACACAGCACACAGAAGTTAATGTGTTCGCTTCTCACTGTCTTTCACATCTGAATAGCTTAGAATTTTGTTTTTGGCATCTCTTTTATAACCAAGAGTGAGTCAGAAAAACTTACTTTGAATTTCCATGTGTCTTTTTCCTCTTTTGTTATGGGCTTATTTTATTTAATTATGGGCAAAGAACATGGCTTGTTTGACCTTGCCCTTTTCCCGTCTCCTACTTCCTTTGTAACTTCAAACACAACTTTTATAAGGTTCCCACAGGAGGCATTCTTTAATTTGGTACAAAGTTCCAAACGTCAATAAAAGTTCATTTCTTTATGTTATTCAAACCTCTAAAAGTTTTTTGTTTTCTTTTTCGGTCTCCTTGGGCCTGTCCCCTTTCAGGACTGTATTAAAACCTCCCCAAAAGTCACAGCCTGTCAGCTTTTCCTGTGCTCTTTCCAACTTGCACCTTGTGATGCTACGTTCTCTGGGGGGTTGTTTGCTAAAAGAGAAGACAATGGGACCCAGGGAGGAACTGCAGTCTGGCCAGGGCAGGGTTGGAGACTCACCACTGTGCGGTGAAGTCCACAAACTCAGGAGAGAAACGGTCAGCTGGGAGCTGGGGGGATGGCTCCTCCACCACCTGCTTCAGCTGCTGGAATGGGGTCCCCCAGGACCCATAAGGAAACCGTAGGATAGCCATCTCGATCTGCAATGAGGACATCTGTACTAGTCAGACGTACCCACACTCTCCACCCAGAAGCAGGGCATTTTTAGAACCTGCCCTGTCCTGGCCCAGAGCTTGGAACTGGACTGAAAGGCAGGTCAAGAGCAGACACATGACATCAGGGCAAAGGTGAACACCAGGAGGGCACAGTGGTCGGCTGCTCTGACCAAGTCAGCAGAAATTACAGCTCATGGAGCAGATCCTGCTCTGAGCTGTGACTAGTTGACCATCATTGGGTTCTTAAACAATCTGAATTCAGATTTTACATAAAAATCCAGATTCCAATGAATCTGGAAAAATCAGAGGAGCTGACAGCCCTGGGTCATCTTTCCACAAGGAAGTAGCTGGCAAAGGAACTTGGCCAGGCAACAGCTTCACTGTCCACCAGAGACCACACCCCTCCCTACCATGTCTCAGCCTCTACTGCCTTTGGCTTGGGCCACTGTTGTTATTACAGAAGAGGCAATCCAAGTGTCAGACATGAGGCCCACATCCAATTGGCTCCTTCGCTCTGCAACAACCTGCTCCAGGCCCCATAGGTAATGAAGTTCACAGCACCTCCTCCTCCACAGCTCCCCACCACCCTCCCACTGACGCCCTGGAAGGCCCATTTCCAATGCCTTCTCCTCCAGGAAGCCTTCCCCTCTCTGTCCCTATCACAGTTTCTCCCTGACCCCCTGGACATAGAGCCAGCATGGCCTTGTCAATCCTGCTGAACCTGGACCTGGACCTCCCTGCATGAGACCTCAGGGCCACCCAGGCTCTGCACATGTGCCAGGCACCTAGCCCATACCTCACCTGAAGTTGACAGAAAGTTATTTTTGGGAAAACCTGGCTAGCTTATGACAAACTCTGAGTTCTGATTGTGACTGCTGAAATAAAAAAAATCAGGTCAACCCCGGGTCCTGCTTAAAATAGCAGAGACTTCTTGATGACAGGGAATAATGACCACAATGAACAGAAGAGACCTCAGCTCAAACCAATGCTTCATGTTGGCAACTGGCACCCAAACAGATCACTAATTATTGTGCTAAGCAAGAGCCTTTCCATAAGGCTAAAGGCTTCCCTTTCCAGGCAAGACATAAACACACCCCACAGATGGAGGATATGCTCAACACAAACGGGTGTGGGTGTAATTCTGTGTGTGTGTATTTCACCAGGATAAACTCAGCCTGTGCTTTCCTAGAATGTTCACTAATTCCAACAAGCAGAAGTGAGGAACCTGTATGGGCTGTCCCAGGAGGGCCCAGAGGCCTGTCAGAGTTTATAATTAGAACAAAGGAAACATGTCCAAGACCTTCGCCTGGTAATCTCTTTCCTGGTCATTTTTTCTAAAGAACTTAAAAAACTGGAAAACAAAAAAAATTGCATCGGGGCACAGAGACACATGGGATGGTGTTCTCTGTAATACTGAATATTAAGAAGCAGCCTAAACATCCAGCGTCAAGCACCAGCCTGTCACAGGGTGGTTGAGTTCCCCAGGCAACTGCGAGGCATGCCCTGTGACACCAAATGAGTGTTCACATGACCAGTGCTTGGTCAACACTGATTATGGCCGAGAGGCTTCCAGTGTGTATTCTGACAAATGTTCGGTGGCAAGGGTCAAGTGCCCACAGAGAGCTAGCCAGGGTGGGCTCAGCAAGGACAGGAGAGAGGCTACCCAGAGGGGCGAGCCTGATGTGCAGTGCTTTGTCAGTCCTTCCCCAGGACAGCCAGGGATTTCAAGTCAAAAGAAAAAAACAAACAAGGGAAATGTCCCGAATCAGAAAGCTGGCTGAGTACAGTGGCAGATGGTTGTAAATGCTTTGGAAAAGATGCCTACAGGGATTTAAAACAATCCAGAGAAATATTACATGAGGCTAAGTGAAAAAGCAAAATTAAAAAATATATATATGTATATATACACACACAGATATATATATATACATATATATACATATACATATATATACATATACATATATATATATATATAAAATATGTTTTTTGTTTACAAAGAGGCAAATGTCTGAAAGGAAACGCAGCGTTGGCAGATGACACTGGGGGGAGCTGTGTATGGAGAGTAGAACAACTGTGATTTTTTTCCCTATTTTTCCTCTGCATTTCTATATTGTATTTCTACAACTTTGTAACTATTGCAGCTGCACTTTCAGTGGCCACCATGGCTTCTCCTCCTGGTGCATGCTTGCTAGTGCCCTGTTCCAAAGAAAGGGTCAGTTAAACTGCACTGGCTTGTGACATGCTTTGACCCACACAATGAGGTAGAGTGACACTGCCAACCCCAGGCCTAAACACTTAACAGCACTCCCCTCACGGAAGCCAGTCACCACCACAGCTCATCTCCATGCTCTGAGGACACCCAGCAAACAAGCCTGCCCTGAGGAATCTGGTGCAAGCCCCATGTTTGTAAAGTCTTCTTAAACCTTCCAGCCCATCCCAGCCCTCACTCCAGCTAGAGCCATGTGGAATAGAAGACTCACCCAGCTGAATCCAACCCAGAGTGCAGAAACATATGAAATAACAAACTGCCCTGGCCAGGTGGCTCAGTTGGTTGGAGCATCATCCCACAGACCAAAAAGTCAAAGGTCTGATTCCTGGTCAGGGTAGGTACCCGAGTTATAAGTTCAGTGCCCAGTCAGGGTGTATATGGGAGGCAACCAATCGACATTTTTCTCTCATATCAGTGTTTCTCTCTTTCTCTCTCTCCCTAAAAAAGAAATCAAACATATTAAAAAAAAAAAAAAAGAAATAAACCATTATTGGTTTGAGCCACTAGGTTGTGAAGTGCTTTGTTACACAGCATTTGGTAACTGAACTACATACCTAGCACACACTTTTCTAAGTTCCCCAGAGACATCAGGTCACTAGAATGTGGCTGATCCCCAACAGTGATGCTGGATGGACAGATGGCAGGGAAGGAGAGACAAGGAGGGAGGGAAGCTGGGGCGAGTATATGTATGAAGGGGTCATGAGTGGGGGTCTCTAACATTTAACCACTTGTGTGTAGCCTGTAAATACAGAAAGAAATTGGTCTTATTTTTTTAACTGGGGAGGTGGAAAACTTTCATCTGCAGGGACAGTACCCACCTTTACACTGTAAATATTCCTCTCCACTTCAAAAAGAAAAAATTTTCACTGTAGCATTAAGAAAAATTGAAAGTATCACCACTTCCTCCATTTTTGTCTCTGACAAAATGATTTTGACTTTCATTCTTTCTCAGACATTGTAAACAGACACAGCTTATAAAGTTACAGTCATATGGTGATGGCAAGGATTGTGACAATAACTGCAGCCTCAGTAAAACCTAAAACGTCTCCGCTGACCCTGAACTCTCACCCTGACATTCTCTACCTGTCCCTGGGATCTGGGCCCCTGGATCCCACTGGGCACGCCCCGCCTTGAACCTCCATCCCAGGCCCCCTGCAGGCCCCTCTGCTCCCTTTCACCAGAAGCTCGGCTCACATCACCCAGTCACTCCCCACCCCACTTAACTCTTCTCCACACCCCCTTGCTCCATATATTTTACTGACTGATTTTGATGATTGATTGCACTCTGTCTCCAACACCGGGAAGCCTGAGGGACTGAGGCAGGGAGGATGTTGATACCCCCTTGAAAAATGCTAACAAATCCATACCATTAGTTCCAACGATTGGAATAGAGTGTGGGAGGCAACAACCACTCAGGCCAGTAAGTCCACTGGACTGACTACTGCATGCTGGGGCCACCATGACAGCAACATTCTCCTGAGCTCACAGGCCTCATGCACAAACGTGTGCCCCTGACAGCGTCCTAGTCTTTTTCCTGTCCCTCCAGCCCATGCTCTACACTGTGCCAAAGCAGGCTCCCTAAAAATAGCTAATTAAACCTCAACATACACCTGAGTAGGAGCCAGCACTCTGATGGTCAGTTCTTGAAAAAGACGAGTCACATGGGCCCAGCCCTACCCCGGACGTCAAATGCAGCCACTCCAGTTGAGCCAATGGCTGGGCACCTGCCCCACCCCACCCAGGCCCATCCTACCACACACATAGAAATGCACCGGACCCATAGGCAATATACTTCTTGCTGTGAAAAAAAATTTAAGATTTTTATCATTTTGTTTTTAAAATTATTTGTGTACCAGGAGTTCACTTAATGTGGGATTGGCTATGATTTCTTGACAAGCATAAAGACCTATAGAGAAAGCCCAACAGACAAGTGGGTACAAGGTGTCCAGAACTCTTGGGAAGGGTGCCCTCATCACTCAGGAATGGCTTCATGCCACCTGTAGACATTACCTTTAATATACCATAACTTTGGATGGCACATTTTCTTCTCAGATTGTGAAGCTAACACTTTTTTCCAGGTTCTGAACTATTTGATATTCCCCCCAAAAGCTCACAGACTGGGCATGGCCCCTGCTGGGCCCCACCCAACCAACCAGGGCTGGCCCCTGCCCTGAGTATACCATGGTGATGCCGAGGCTCCAGACGTCAGACTTAACGTTGTACCCCTTCTGGTTCAGTTCTGGGTTGATTCTCTCTGGCTGTAAGAGGGACCAGGGAGACATAAACACCTACTCACAGGAAGAGACCAGAGCAGGGGTGACCCAAGCCCCCAACCTCATCCTACCCCACCTCGTCATGGGACAGATGGTAAAACCGAGGCCAGTGAGGGCCAGTGTCTCATGATGAAGGCCCAAACTTTTCCTTGAAGGACTCCCAACTAAGGGTTGGGAAGAGCACCTTCAGGACACCGGTCAGGGGTAGAGGGGACCTACACAGGCCCCGTGTGCTGCCTCTACATGGATGTCCATAACATGGGTTATCCAAATGGGCGCTTCAGGGTACAGTTAATAGCAATGGTATGAGGGGCAGGCTGGGCCTCAGGGGACACCTCTGGGACAGGAAAGGCAGTACCTCTGGGAGGCCCTATCCCCGATGAACAGAGGACATGACCTGATTGTTATCTCCCAGGCACATCCCCTTCTGACCTGCAGCCATGGCCCCAGACATAGGACAGCAGAGGACTGACTACTCACAGCCATGTAGGGCTTGCAGCCGGCATCCAGCGTCTTGGCCACAGAATCCACCAAGTAGCCGCTGATCCCAAAGTCACACATTTTCACATGCCCCTCCTTGTTGATGAGGACATTAGATGGCTTTACATCTGCCAGGGACAGAATAGGCCTTTTCAACTCCGGGGTCCCTGGCTGGACAGCAGCAGGCTTCTCCCACGCTCCGACCACCCCAGGGGCAGATGCTGCCAGGGCACAGGGAGTGGAGAAGCGACTGAGACTGCAAGAGGTGCCACCGAAGCCCAAGTTCACAGGTTTGGTGACAATGCAATGAGGATGTGCTGCAGCCACTGGCCAGGCCACACAAGCAGGGAAGGCAGTCAGGCCTCTGCTGCTGTACACAGGACGGCATCTTTGTGCTGGTCACCAGCACAGTGGACACAAGGTCCAGAGAAGCAGGCACATCCTGGCATAGGCAGCCTCATGGTGGGTACTTGACCCGCACTTCTTGGCACAACCTCTAGCTCTGGTGTCTTCCCAGGCTGGGCTATGGGGTTCTTCACTGACAGGGTGAGACCCAGAAATGACCCAAGTGCCCAGGCCAAAGGGTGAGCAAATTCAGCCTGGAAGCACATGGCAACAGCCAAAAGCACAGGAGGCCAGTCTGCATGAGAACCTGGGGCCTGGATCATGACTCAAGAGCAATACTGAGCAGGCTGCACAGCAGGGAATCTTCCAGCAAACAAACACACACACACACACACACACACACACACACACACACACACCACATGCTTTCTATGGGTATGTGCATAGCATAGAAATGCACAGAAAAAGATCTAGCAGGTTTCACGCTGAACTGCCAACAGTGGTGAGCTGCAGGTGGGGGTTGGGATGGCCACTCAGTGGCCAAAGGGGCTTACTGTAATTAACTTTGTGGAAAGCAGAACATCGGGTTAAGAGGACTACTCAGAATAATAAAAAGGAAGGAAGTACAACATATACAACCTGGTGGATCTCAGAAACATTAAGACCAGTGAAAGAGGCTGGGCAGAAGGCATATGTGTGTGAGTCCATTTACATGAAGATCAAGAACAAGAAAAAAAGAACCTAATATGGAAAAAACAGAGAAGAAGCATGGGGGAATATGAAGCACAGTGGCCATCCAAGAAGGGCCAAGAGAACTTTCTAGGATGGGGTGAAGGGTGGAAACATACTGCATCTTGCCAGGGGCGGGGGTTACATGAGTGTAAACTTTGAACAGATTCATTGACCAGTAACTACAGATCTATGCATTTCACACTATGCAAAGAATACACCCAAACAAAAACAGTCATGCTCCCAGAGAAAAGATCCATCTAGTCCTTGTTCTGAGTAGCAGCAAACTTAAGAGAAGGTGGCTAGGGAGTGGGACTAGTTCTGGGGTAAAAACCAAGGAAAATGGCTTAGAGAGTTGGAGAGTGGCCTAGACTGAAAAGCAGGCTCAGCACCTGACCCCAGCAGGCTCATCCCTACCCATCACTTCCCTGAGCCTCAGCCAGCTCGTTTGGAAAAGGAGGAGAGGTGCACCCACCCCATGGGACTGGGTGAGACCATGCATGCGGCTGCCTAGGGATCTCCCCTATGGGCCAGGCAGGCACTGACCTCTGTGAATCACGGACAGCTTGCTATGCAGGTGCTCCAGTGCCCTTACAATCTGGCATACAGGACAGAGACATACAACTGGTATTATTTCTAGTCGCATCAAGAACAACAGAGCAGCAAGAACCCCATCCATGTCCATGTGTCTCATTCTCCCACTTACATTCAGCCCCTCTTTAACCCAGGCTTTGGTCTGCATTACAACCTGTGCCCCAGAGACCTGGCAACCTCAGTTCAAACATACCTGGCCTTCTGTTTTTCTCCAACCCACCCAAGGGGACCTGAGTCTTGGGTCCAAGCATTTACCTGGGAAATGATGTACTGGAAGCCGCAGCAGAATCCTCTGGCGTATGACCCACCCCTTCCAGGGGACCATTGCCACCCCCTAGCAGGCTCTTAGGTAAAACCCAGCCCTTTTATGGCCTTCCTGGCTCCTCTCCCTCCCTCAGCAGAGCTAGTGGACTATGTGCTGGAGCTGACACACTGAGGAGGACAGAGTAGGGGAGCCTGAGAAATTACCCCCAAAATTCTGACTCCCTACCCATTACAGCCAGAATTAAAAGCCACGGGTATACCCATTTCCTTTTTTGCTCTGGTTGCCATGATGCACCCAGTGTTGCTGCCCTCCTCTAGCAATGTTGCACCTCAAAAGGCAAACATTTGGATGCTAACCGTTCCTCCAGTTTAGCTGATTCCTCTTTGAGCTGCCTCAGGATGACAAGGTTGTAAATACTAAGTCATTTTTTAAATGGTCCAGGAAGCTTGGGAGTTGCACACAGAGATCTAAAGACCCAGGAGCTGACAAATTTGTGTGGCTCTGGGAGCCCTAGGCTCCAGGGTCTCCTCAGCAAAAAGGCTCTGGTCCAGGGTTGAGGAGCTGGGCCCCTGGGGGGCAGTCACCCAGGTTCAGGGCTACACTGGTGCCTGACTCTGCCCAAAATACCACTGTCAGATTGGGATTTGGGCCTGCTGGGGCCAGGCTGAGGCCTCTGGCATGTACCTGGAAGTCCCAACCCTACCAAGGCTTGAGGCCACTTACAGACACAGCAATCTTCCCCAGAATGTCCTCTGGCATCATCACATTTTTATCAAGCACCTTACGATAGAACTTGTCCAGGGATGTGTCCATGAGTTCCATGCAGATCCACACATCTCCCTGTGGGTGGATGCCCAGAGGTTAGCTCAGGCCCACCTGGGGCTACACCTATGTCTGGGCAGCCTGCCTGGTGCCTGCTCCAGCCAAGCCTCTGGCAGACACATCTGCCCATTCCTCAGCCCTGAGATTTACTGAGCTTCCAGCTCCTCCCCTCCTGCCTCCCAAAAATCTCTTGAACTGCCCACTTCTTCACCTTCCAGTTTTACCTACACTGCTGAAGCCACACACTGGCCTCCCCCAGCCCTGTCATCTCTGGTCTCCCCTATCTGATTCTTGATTTCATAGTAATTTCCCGGGAAAAGTGACTAAAACACAAGGCTACTGTGTCCCTCCAACAGGAACCTCCAGGACCTGACACTCAGCCCCTGACCCAGCCCTGCAGAGCCCTCCTGCCTCAGCCCTGACGCCCCCCACACAGGACACGGCTCACCCAGCTCTGGCCCTGGCTGGGGGCAACTCCTTCACCTGCAGTGCTCTACCTCCTCCACCCATTCCCCAGCAAACCCCTGCATGTCCTTCAAGACAGCCCTCTTGGGAAGGCTGGGTGCAACATCTCCTTGGGGCAGCCCCAGGCCCCCCAGCCTCTCTGCCAGCTCTGACCCAGCATGCAACAAGGTCTGGATGTGTGTCTGTCTCCTCAGCAGCAAGGGGACAGACAGCCTGAACCTAGCACACAGTGGGCACTTAGACATGTGGCTGACAAGGCACTGACTAACCCACCACTGGGTCTGGCCCACCAGCACGCTTGGGGATCCACAGGTGCTCAAAGAGGCTGGGATGGGAGAGCCCTGACCTTGCCTCTGAACCCCAGGTGGTAAATGACCATCACAAGCCAAGCCCATCTAACAGGGGCTCTGGTCTCCATTAACTCCATACCAGCACTTCACGCTGTCCAGCAGGAGCCCACCTGCGGCCCCACAGGTCGAGCTCCCTGGGCTTCCCCAATTCCTCTCGCCCCACAGACCCAGAATCACATCTGCACACCTCCACAGGGGCCTCCTGGCAGGATAAGGCAGGTGGTCACACAACCTTGTGGCACACTCACTATGTGCCAGACCCTGGGCCACATCATTTCATCTTCATGACAACCTTGTGAGGTGGGTACAATCACTCACTGGTCTCATTTCATAGACCAGCAAACTGAGGCAGGAAGCAAAGAAGCCAGGCATTCAGGCTCCTGGGCCTGAGCTCTCAAGAGCCCTGCACTTCTGCCTCTCAGGTAGGCAGGGCCTGTTTTCATACCTGTGCCCAGCACCTGGCCCTCACAGACACTCAGCAAGTGTCTGCTAGGGGCCCAGAATGATTGAAATTAGGCTGCAGACTAGGTGAATGGGGCAGGTGTACAGACAGAAGGTAAGGGCAGGGTGGTCTGAGCCCCTAGCCCCTAGCCCAGCACCCACCTCCCACCCTCCTGCCAAGGCCACACCTCTCTGAAGAGGGCCCCATAGAAGGTGACGGTGTAGAAGCAGTCAACTGTGCGCATGTTCACATCCAAGTCCATAAGCAGACGCTTCTGCTCCTGGGAGTTCACGGTGGCCCGGATCCGCTGCAGGGGAGAGGGCTGAAGGTAAGGGGCCAGGCGGCAGGAGGGGAGCACCCCCCCATCTCTCATATGAGGGCTGGGCATGCTCAGCCCCATGCCGGGCAGCATCCTGGGCGCCCTGAGGCCCAGCACTCCCCGGCAAGGCTCCCTGCTTACTTTAACAGCCATGATGGTGCCACTCTGGGTGTGCCGTACTTTCTCCACCACCCCATAGGCTCCGCGCCCCAACTCCGAGATGGTCACCAGGTCATCAGCCTCTACCTCAAAGTTCTTGGGGTACAGAAAAGAAAGAAGATCAAAAATCAGGAGCTGGCCCTCACCTCAGTCAGTGGAGATGGCAGGGGCACTGTAAAGAGAAGACAGCCAGTGTTTCAGACCTGAGCTCAACTCCTGTACCAACTACTTCCTGCTATGTGACCTGGGTCAAGTCACTTAAAAAAGTGAGCCTCTATAAAACAGGCACAGCACCCAGACCCAAGGGCTATTGCAAGGTGTAAATAAGACAACCTGTGAAATGCCCCCAGTGGACACAGGGAACTCAAGATATCCCCCTTCCCTCCTGTTCTCCAACCCACTCAGGTGTGTAAGCCAAATCACTCGTTCAACCAGTATTTACTGAGCACCTACTATGTGTAAGTCTGTTTTAGGCACTGGGAAAATAGAACAAAACAAGGGTCTTGCCCTCACAGCAGCATGGCCCTGGGCCACCTACTTTCTCTCTTGCCCTTTATTTCTGGAGGCAGACAAATAAATAACTAAATAAATAGGCAAGTAGGTGACCTGCACATCAAACAGTGACAAGGGTCAGGGGAAAAAAATAAGCCTTAGAGATGCCATCAGCCAAGGAGAAGCCCCTGGAGTAAAAGCTCTGCTGGGAGCCCCTCAGTGTTGCTGGTGGGTGAGGTTCAGCCCCCCCGAGCCAGGAGTCTCAGTCCCTGCTGCTCAAGCCAGCAGAGCTGCATGTGGAGAGCAGGCTCCCAGGCATGGCCCAACAGCTGGGCTAGGAGTCTGCATGTCCCACAGACTGTAGGGGGCCAAACTCTAAGGTCAAGAAACTCAGCAAGGCCCCATGAGGCAGGCCACTGTCCCCATTCCATATGGGAAGGTCAGAGAATAGAAGGCCCAGAGCCCAATAGCCAGCCTCCAATGAGTGAGACTACTCCCCAAAGCCACCTCTGCTTGATACCCACAGTCACCTCCCAGTGGCCCTAGGGAGTCAGCTCAGGCCCATGTCAGATGAAACTTCATGAAGCACCCCCAGGCTGCAGCCAGCACCTACCCTGTCTCCAATGGTGATGAAGGCCCGGGAGTCAAGGTTCCTAGGGGGGCTGTGGGGAAAAAAACAGACCTCCTGAGCTTCTGAAGGAACCATACCCTTCCCCTGAGAGAAAGAGCAAATGGCCTGGCACCAGGACCAGAGGCATGTCCTGTCCCCAGGAGGCAGCATGCCTCAAGGCACCTCCATCACTGAGCATGCGCTGTGCCAGGGCCACAGGGCCTGACCTTACCGTCTCTGTGATGGGTTGAGAAGAAGCCCAGCTTGCACACAAGATGCCTGCAGCCCACCTCCCTTCTCCCTACCCCACCCCCAACTCGACAGGCTCACAGGAGGCTCAGCCTGGTGCCCAATCCCTGTGACTTGCTCTAGTCCCCTGAGCCACCTCCAGGAAGCCTCTGCAGGCTGAGCCAGAGGAGACACCGAGGCACACTCACGTGGGGTTGGGAACAAGCGGCTTGGACACACAGGATATATGTAAGTCCTTCTTCCTCTTGGATTTTCCTAAAAGGGAGAGATGGCGAGGTGTCTGTGAGACAGTAAGGCTCTGGGAGGGGCCCCAGCCTGGGGTGTTTTGTTTTGGTGGCCTCCGGCAAACTAAAACAGATGCCCTCCCCACTGGGCACTGACCTCAGTGGGCACATCTGAAACCGAGGCAGCTCCTTTCAGTTCCCAACTCTGCCACCCACCCCTTCTCTGAGCCTTAGAATGTACCTTAGAACGCAGATGCCCACCTCAGGGGTGACTGGGAGACTTGGCGCAGACTCAGGCTGGGAGGCCCTGGCCGAAGCCCAAGACTCATTTCTCTCTGCCTGAAGCTCTTGCCTTTGCTGCCCAGTCCAAGAAACAGCCCGGAAGCCCACTCCCCTCATCAGGGTGCCTGGTGGGCCTGAGTCCCAGGGCAATGCCTCTCTGCCCCTCCATCCTGAGGACAGGTGAGGGGCTTGGCCTTCCTGAGCCCCAGTGTGGGGTTCTATGCTTCTCAAACCAGCTGAGTGTGGCCAGGTCAGCATGTGACGCAGTGCACCAGTAGCCTCAGCACCGTGGAGCACAGGACATAGCTGGGGCTGGCACAGTGGAGGAGGAAGCTCTCATCAGGACTGCCCTTTGAAGAAGACAAAGCGTCCTGTCACAGGCAGAAGGGCAAGGTCTCGAGACAGCAGGGATCCCTTCAAGGAGTGAGACGGGCTTGAGTTCACAGCCCCTGCTGCCAGGCGCCCAGATTGGGGACTCCATTTCCCAGAAAAGGTAGGTGATCTGCCCAGGTTATAAAGTGTGTGGGTGGCAGAGCTGGGACTCAACCATAAATCCCCAAAACTGCTCAACAGAAATGGTGATGCTCAGGCTCCTGTTCCTGCAGGACAGCCCTTCCTGCCTCTCCGCAGAGCCCTGCCACCAGCTCTGCCCTCCCGCCCACCGTACACCACCACTGCTGACACGCTCTGGCCCCCCAGGGAGCTGAGAACCACGCAAGGCTCGCCATGGGTGTGTACAGAGTACTGGTCAGTCCCAGCCCTGAAACCACCTCGGCACCAGGTTCAAACTCAGCCTGTCATGCCCCCCTGTGTGACCTCAGTGCCTCACCTGAGAACCTAGCACAGGGGCCTGCACACTCAGGCCCGGTGGCCAGGCTGACTGGCACCAATGTCAAGGGATGGGATGAGGTTATTATTACCTCTGGGAAGACAGGGCCTGGGTCCAACTGTTCTCAGAGCTGATGAAGAACAAGGAAACAGAGCACACGGAGGGATTGGGCTCCCCGTGTCTGTGCTGGAGTAGTGGGCACAGCACAGCAATCTCTCCACAGAAGCCACCTCGGAGACCCTCAGATACCAGGTCAAAAGTTTGGGCTCTCTCTGCTCTAAGATCAAACCCCACCTTTGCCCCTTATAGGCTAGGTAACCTCAGGCCACTCTCCATGGCTCTCTGAGCCTCAGTATCCTCCTCCATGAAACAGGGATAAAAACAGCACCTATTTTGTAGTTACCAAGGAAAGCACTTAGTGCAGCTCTCACACTCAGCCCACATCAGAGCTGCTGCACTGTCCAGGCAGGGCCTGACCCAGAGGCCTTGGGAAACAGCAGCTTCCACAAACAGTAATAACAGTGGCAGCAGCAGTAGCAGCTATACTCACTGAGCACCCGCCATCCACTCCCCACTGCATAGGGGTGCACCAGTCGCCTAACAATGACCTCATGTGAGAGGCATCTTCACCCCCTTTTAGAGATGAGACAAAGCTGATGATTGTCAGGGTGTGGGTGGGTCTCAATTCAAAGCTTTCGCTCAACAAAGAGGCAGCCTATCACACATGTGGCCCCATCTCAACCCTAAGGGAAGAGACCTTAGCCTCACTTTATTTGGGGAACCTGAGGCTCAAAGGTGAAAATGCTGCACAGTGAGTCAGGGGTCTGGCTAGGGAGCACACCTGGGTTTGTTGACTCGGAGACCCCGATGGGCCAAGCCGGTGGCTCACAGTGAAAGTTCCTAAGGAACTTTCAGAGGAACAGGCCTATTACACTCTCCGACAGGAAGCACGGTGGCACCTCCTGCTGACCAGGAGCCCAGAGGCCTCTCCAGGTCTCCTTGGGCCCAGTACAGCCCACACAGCAAGAGGAAAACAGAGAAAAGCCAAAGCATGCAGGACCATTTATTCCTGAGGCCACTTCAGTGCTGCCCCTAGTTCTTCTGAGGTTACCACTGGGACAGACACAGGGGCCCTGGGTTGCAGGCTGCTGGAGGCCGCTGCCAGGCTGGTGTACCCAACACTGTCTGCTATGTGGCAGCCCAAGGAAGTCCAGCTCTGCACCCTGGCTGAGACCCCTCATGGGACCCTCCTCTCTGTACCACAGGTGCCAAACCACAGAGGAGAACCTCAGAAAAATGCCCAACTGACTGCCAAGATGAGGTCTCATCTGTAAGGCACTTGGCACAGGGCTTGGCACTCAATAGGTAGTCCTACAAGGGACCAGAAATAGTTACCACGATCAGCGTCAGCCTCTCCACAGAGTTGAAAAATTTCATCCTAAGTAATGAGAACTATGGGTAGCTTTTATTCTTGACTTGATGTTTTTTGTAACTAGGAAGTAAAATATTTTATGTTAAAGTAGTAACTCACTCAGGGTTTGGCTAGGGCTCAGCCACCCCTCCCTGGCACTAGTCTGCTCTTGGCCCCATCTACACCTTTCTCTAGCTCCATTCTTCACACCCCTCTCCTGCTATGGGATTGAAGACTGTCACAAGGTACACTCCCCTCACCAAGCCTCAGTTTGCCAACCTGTCAAAGGAGCTCCTGCACCTGTGTCCAGGCCAGGTAAGGACCGTGTGAGGAGGCACGAGACACTCGGTGAAGGCAGGCTCCCACCTGCTTTCACCTCGGGCCTTGGGAGGGGCAGAGGCTGCTGTGAGCACATGCACTGAGTGGATGGGAGGAGCATGGTCGGCCTTCTTGCCCTCCTGGTCATATGGTGGGGTCACCAGGCCTGCATCTGGAGTGACATGGTCTCCCTGGGGCAGCCATGCCAGCTGTGAGAGGGAGTGGGTCAGGCTGCCATGGAGACAGCCCAGCAAGAAGCCACAGGCCACCAGCCGCTGCCACGATTTGCCATAGCCATCAGCACTGGGCCCAGATAGCCAGGCAGCCCAGGGCTGCCCAGGTACAAGGCTACTGTGGTGACCATCACCACAACAGAGTTTCATAAGCCACCATCACAAAGCACAAGTGTGCCAGCCTCTATCTTCAGGGTCCCCAGTGCAGAGGGGCACAGTACCAGGTGTCTATGCATCCTCAGCCTGCACTAGCCTCCCAGCAGTACCACAGGCAACATGCAAAGAACAAAGAGAGGCACTCTGCACGCAGACACAACTCCCACCATTTTGTCAGCCCTGCCTCTGTCACCTCCCACTCACCATTTCTTGAAGAAGCCACCTTCTTTCCCACCTCAGGGCCTTTCCACATTCTGTTCCTAGTACCTAGAATACTCTTCCCTGAAACTTCGTCCTAGTTAGTATACAATCCTCACCTTCTACCTACTCAAGGAGGCTCTCCTGGTTGCTCCAGCTAAGTCCCCTTATTACTGGCTGTTCTAGTGTCCAACTGGCTTCCCTCCTGTCACTTCTCATAAGTCACATTTGAAGTTACTATCTGAGAGGCAAATAGCAAAATGTACTGACTCTGGAGCCAGGCAGCCCGAGTTCAAATTGTATCTCAGCCACTTCCTAGCCATGTACCCTCAGATATGTGAGCATAGTGACTTAACCTCTCTGGGCAACATGGCCTCAACTGTGAAATAGGAATAGCGGGCCAACCTCCCAGGATTATCAGTATGTCCAAGGAGCTTATTGCCAAGCCTTAGCAGTGCCTGACAGGTGGAAGATTAGATGAAGCCATCTGGAAACCCATGGTACCCAAGATAACAGGTCTCAGCCCCAGGTGGCTACTCTCTTAATACTCTTAGCAGCCCCATGAGGGAAATGTTTTCTTATGTCTCTTGTACCAAGGGTCTCAGGGTTTATAAAATCCACAGACTGGCAGAGGAGTGGCAAGGGTCTGGTGGGCTCCTCAGCAAGAAGGTAGGGTGAACACTCTGTGGATGAGGGCAAGTTGAATCCCAGGTACAGTAGGAACAGGAGGAGGAGAGAAGAATTTGTGAGGGAGAGAAGATGCTGGTCTCCTCACAGAGGAGCCCAGGAAAAGCAAAGAGCTATCTTTTTGTACCTTTGCGATTCCTAACCATGGGCAGTACCAGCTACTGAAACGTAAGTAACTTAAATAAAATAATAAGAAAGAAAGAGACCCTACTTAAACTCTGTGTCCTAGGCTGCTGTAGGTCTGTGTCCTCTTCCAGATGGAGGCAGCTGGGCAGCTGGGCTTCCTGGTATCCTTCTCAGGGGCTCCTAGCAGCAGGACCTGCTCAGAACCGGTTGTGCTGAGACCATCCAGTGCAAATACTGAGCCAGAGGCCTAGGGAACTTGTCCAGAGTCACACACCAGGGCAGCAGGACAGTCAGGACTTGAACGCAGACCACAAGCTAACTGGACCAGTGCTTCTCCCAGGCCACCACATCCTGGCTCCCCACACTTCAGCTGTGGCCATGCTGTGTCCCCCACCCCCAAGCCTCCCTGGCAGAGGCTGACAGAAAATGAGTGAGGAAGAACAGGCTTTGGCACTAGGAAGTCTGTGCTGCTATGTGACAATGAGCAAGTCAAACCCCCTTTCTGAGCCTCAGTTCCTCCCTTGACAGTCTGCAGAGTGTAATGGCCTTGACCTCCTGGAGAGAACAAGCCCAAGTCGGGGTTATTAAGACAAAGCCCAGCTTGAAGATAGATCTGTGTGACCTCAGTAAGCTACTCTCCATTCTAGGCCTACATACTCATAAAACTCAGTGATATTCAAGGGGGAAAAACACACCCATGATGCTAGGTAACTGGGAAGGCTAAATGAGATTCTGCATATTAAATGCCTGGCACCAAACTGGGTTGGATTACTGGCTACCTGGACCCTTGT